ATATTTATATACACCTGCCAGTAAAGAACTCACCATGTGGGCTGGCAAAGTTAGCTGTTTGTCCCATTGTGATTCCAAGAGAGGAAGGTGAAGGAGTTGGACCAAAGGATGCTGGTGATGGTGCTCTTAAAGCTCCGCTAGGTGAGCTTGCAGCATGCAAATTTCCTAATCAAAGACAATCACATCACTCAACATACACATTTCCCATTCTTCTGTTATAATTTTTTCTATCAACTGCTACAGCTATCTCCTTTTTAGGCAGACAGCAAACAAGATTCATGAGAATTTGTTTTTGCACGGAAAGGCTGTATTTTATACATGCATGAGCATTATATTTTCCAGACTGATTCACCATACAAAGGAAACTTTCCAAGATATTTGGCTTGAAGAATGGCATTTCCCCCCTGCCCAGCCCTTCCCCAAATTTAAATATTTTCAGCTGTTGTGCTACAACAGCTGGGAGCAGAAAGCAGAGCTTTGGTGATGAAAAGCTTTTCTGAAAAAGCAGGTATTTAAAATTAACAGGTTTTGATCTGAGCAAGTTGTAAGCCATAAGAATGAAACAGTCCCAAATATTACATAGCTAAAGATGACAGTTTCACAGAATGGTTTTTTTAGCTTCAAAATGTACTTTCCAAAACATGCATGGCAGGACTTTGCTTTGCTATTTTTCCACACTATAAGGTGCATTCTCTTGGCTAACTTGGAGCTAAACACAGCTCAAATAATAGAAAAAGCATGCACACACAAAAAGAGCTGCGTGAGTATTTCCAGTACATAATTAGCACACAAACTCTCAGCCATCTTACCTGGTGACTGTGTGTGCATCATAGATGGAGATGGCGTCACTGTGTTGTGATAGGAGGTCGGTGGTGAAGTAAGAGGATATGCTCCCGATGCTCCTGCCTGTTTTGCAAATGGCTGAAATTGTCAACACAGGACAACGAAAATCTTTGATCATTTTGTACTAAAACTAAAGTTAAGTGCTAAAGGAGAACACCAATAAGAGTTTGGTCCCCACCTATGAAATCTGACAGGTCCATCAACATAGTTATTTGATTCTTTTCATCACCTTGTTCAGTGCACACTATTTTTTTTCAGGGACTTTTTGCAGTTTTTCCTCAAGACGTAATACCTTTGCACCTCATTCCTTTTTACCTGCCACCTTATCACAGAGAAGCCTCCTGACCCTCCTTCCCATCTTTTATCTTAAACAGTTGCTTTCCCTCCCTCAGTCCTTCACTTCTAAGGCAGCAAGTCTCATGTGACCTTCCAAAGCTGCTGTTCATATGCTATGGGCTGCTTACACTGGAATGAGAAATGGCAAAATAAATTAATACATTTTGCCCCAAGGGGAATTCCACAGCAGAGCAGTTTTATAGTCTCCCTTTCAATTTTTTACTGCTAATCCTTTTAGAACCTAAGTTCTTGAAAACCTACAGTTGTGGAAGACAAAAAACATTTATTATTTTGCCTGGCGGGTACCTGTTGTTGTGGTTGCTGCGGTGGCTGTTGGGGTTGAAGCTGTGATATCAAAGAATCCATCATGTCTCCTCCAATAGGAGAAGGTGGGTTATCGTCTTCATTTACAGATCGTCTTCGTGCATCCTGATTGCTGTCAACAAACATGTTCAGGAACGTCTGTGGAAAAATCAGTTTTGTTAGCAGTTTCCCCATTTAAATTTTATTACATAAATGAGTACAGTATTTGCTGAGCTTTAATACTATCTTTTATCAGCTACAGCACATAAGAAACAAACAGGTCTCTAGAACTAACTACTAGTGGGCATTCATTATATACAGTATGAATAGTTTGCAAAATATATCAATCCATAAACAGAGCTTCTCAGTGGGCATTTAAGCTTAATTTCCTTTTTCTTTTAAAAAAGGGGTCTTGCATCGCCACCCAACAAGAAACCTTGCTCATTAACATGAAATATCGCTAGTTAATTGAAATACCAACATTTTTCTTTTTTCCTTAAGAATAAGGAAAAGTGTACACCTGGAAATAGCTGTTCCAGAACAACTCATCAGCATCCAGAACCTACTGGGCTGTTGTACCACACCCACAACAGTCCTGTTTGGGCAAGAATGTGCAGGTCACCTCCTCCATAGCATTCTCTGGTACCCAAAGGAATTTTAAAAGAGAAGTTTCTGTCTAGAATCATCTGACATGGAACGTTTCCTCATCTGCAACATATGAGCACTGTCCTGCCACACAACATAGTTTGTGAGGAGCAGTTGTTGTTAATCCCGGAGAATACATCTAGCCGGGCCACAAAGCTTCAGCAAGTTTTCACAACAGAATGCTTGAAGTAGCCTCTACCTTACCTTATTGCATAGATAAGAAAAAAAAAAACCCTGACACTTGATGCTAGTTTTCTTAAAGGAAAAGTTTTAATTCAAACTAATTAACAAATCTACTTATAAATCAGAAAACTCCTTGTGGTCAGAATTTTGGAAGGATTGCAGCTCTTCACAAAAAAAGTTTCAAAAAACTCTTCACATCAGATCCATACTTCAAGTTAGAAGCTCACTTTACAACATGCCAGAAAACACAGAAAAAATCACCTTTAATCCAGGCGCAGGGTAAAAACCTTCAACTATTTTGCTGTTGTCAAAGAGACTGTACGCCCCATCACGTATCGCTACAACACCACGACTCCGGCAGTAGATGTCAATGCAGTACATATTCCTAAAAGCCAGCCTGATATGCGTGGGTGACTGTGGCAGAATTGAGAAACACTGATAGGCAGTGTTGGTGCGTTGAGTCAGACCCAGCATGGGCACAGTTGGAAGTTTGTTGATAGCATTTAATGGAGCCTGAGTATCAAACAAAACCTGAGAGAGAACAGATATTGAGAGATCAGGTAGCTTATCTTTAAGTAAAAGTCAGGGAAAATGGAGCATAGGGGGGATACAATCTTCCCCAAGCCACCTTCTGCCAATGAGATCCATAAACAATCATAACACACACATGTAATTTTGAAGATAACAGTTTAATCAGAATTCAGCTCTAATTATCTTGCACTGTTCTTGAGGGAAGTTTTTAAAACATTACCTGTAACAACTGCACCACATTTGGTGTTTTATTAAACATCTCCTGGAGCTGGTGCAGAATTGTGTTATGACAATTACTGCAACCTGAGTTCGGGCCAACAGTTCCCAGTGAAATGTGGAACTTCTGGAGTATGGAGTTCCACTGAATGCTGATCTGCAATGTCAAGAACATAAAATGGTCTTGGAAACTAGAACAAATATGAGATTATAACAAGAAAGCTGGTCTGCTGTCATTTTTCATGAAACCTCAGCAGATTCCTAACTCACCTTCCTCAAAAGTTGTTGAGGTTCTGAAAAAAAGTGCTGTTAGCTTTAACATCCATTTAGCTAGCTGGATTGTTGGCAACCACAAAACTGGGGAATTACTTTAGCAAGTCAATCAGAAAGAACAAAAGCCTTTTCTGCCAAAGGTGAGAGAAAATTAAACTTGAGAGATTCATGCTGCAGAGAACCAATTAATGAGTTGCTGGAGGTGGATTGGTTTTCTCAGTCATATCACACAAAACCAAGAACTCGACATGCTAATATGGAAGTGACATGCAAAATCCACACTGCTACTCTTGCTACTTATTAACTGTCCCAATAAAATGCACAAACAAATACTCGTAGAAATTTGTCTTAGAATATGAACACCAAAACCTTCCAGAAAGCAAATTTCAAGCGCATCAGCTACTTTGCACTGGCTGCATGCAAAAATACATTCTTAGTCTGTAATAAATGTGCACTTACTTCCTCCTCTACCTTGCATTTCATGCAAGGGTGTGAGCAAGTACACAGTTATCAAAGTAATTAATAAGCTGTAAATTCAAATACTAAACAGTAAGCTAGAGTTCTGAACAGGGGAACAGCACTGCTACAAAATAATTAAGGACCACCTCATCTGAAAGCGCAATACTACATTTAAAACTTTTGTTAAAGTCCTTTCTTCTAAGGCAGCATTAAGCATGCAGCTTACATATATCCATATATCCCAGTACACAACAGTGACCAGTAACAACACTTACCATAAGTTTGTCAGACAAAGGCTGCCACACCAGCTTAGCTTTCATCAATCAGGAGCACACAACTGTCCTTCCCACAATTTGAAGCATCTTACACAAATTCTCAAAAATTCTGAACATCTAGTAACCTAGCAAATTAGCAATCTGGCACCCTCTATTTCTGTCTTTTCTACATTCATCAATATTAATTCCACAGTAATGCAATACAAGGAACTATTTTGTAGCACAATTCTGAGAACTCTAGGCCTACTCCATTCTGTTTTCAAACATACATTTTAAGTGCACTTAGGAGTTACTTACTGAGCTCCCCTTGGTAGTTCCATAACAAAGGATAAGTTTTCGGTAATTGTAGATACGAACTTCCGAAAAAACGTTTAAGTGGTTGGGTATGTCTTTGAAGAGAGGAGGAAAAAGAGTTAGAGTGAGAAAACCATTGTAATCTGTAAACACATCATTTTAATGAAAAGGAGATGATTTCTGCACCTGGTAAGGATCGTGCAAACTCCAGGACACATTCATAGAGCCGAGCAATACTGTTCCAGTCATTAAGGAACATCTCAACAACTTTGCGACCTCCAACTGGTTCAGATAACTGGTTTTCATACGTCAGGTAAACATGACGGGTTGGTCCTGCAGTGTTACGAGATGGTAAATACTGATTAAACTAGTGGTTCCTAAACTGTGGTTTACAGACTGGGAGTGAACTGTAGCAAGTGACCAGGAAGCATATTTAAATAGTAAAAGTGCATCAACTCAGCAGCCAAAATTTTGATTCAGGTGCACTGTGGTTTATTAGAAATCTTGAGAGCAGACAGCTGTCCAGTAACACTAAAACATTAGAACTACTGGAACAGACAATGTAAACCACAAAGAAACAAAATTTACCAAACTTCCTAAATAAAACTTACCTTGCTCCCTGGATGAAGTGCTATTAAGTGGACAGTTTGCAAATACCAGCTCAGCCACCCACGTGCGATTATTTCTACCTTGTAATCGGAAAGTGCAATCAAGAAGAGATCGGTCCAGAGCCTTCTGTGTTTCCTCGTTTACACCTTTACAGGGAGGAATTCTATTCATGAAGAAAAAAGGATCTCAATCATACACAGTACAGTTCCAAAACTAAAAATACTACCTTCTAACATTTCCTGAAGGAATTCCAAATCTGGACATGAAAGAATGAACAAATCAACAACAAAGATAGCTGGACTGCACAGTAATATATCCTATTCCTCTTCAAGGACTGTAATAAGTGTGTTACAAAAGCACCCTGAGTTAAGACCCAATTTTTACATGGATTCAACACCTGCAAATTACAAATTGTTAAGGGATCTGTTGAATTACCCTGATCTCGTGGTGAAAGTAAGAGCACACCAATATAAAGCTTTTATACAGAGAAACAAGGCAAAAAAGATGAAATAAATAAGTTCTGAATTCATAAATCAGTTTGCCTTCTAGAACAAGCTTACTCTAAATGCAATGAACAACCTGGCAGTTATCTTAGTACCCACTAATTTATTCATGTCCCAATGTGAGAATTGAGTTCAGGGGACAGACTAAAAAAGGCTTAAGTAAAAACATGCCGAACTTTTTCAAATCCCTTGAGAGTCTATCCAGAAATTTCATGTACCATGCTTAACTTCAGCTCACAAGTTCTCAGTACTTCTCTGCTTATATGCAAAGTTAAAAAGGTAGGTCCTGATGCATTTAGAGGCTGATGCCTTTATATCACTGTACATTTCTGCAGCATAAAAGAAGTTAAGAAGGTTTTACTCTAGAAGGTGTCTTTGGGGTTTTTTTTAATGTTTTAAACTGATATAATCTGTTTTACTTCATAACACAATCCAAAGTTTAACTGGTGAGCCTTGAAGTAGGCTCCAAGAAGTGTGAAAAACTGGATGGACTGCCAGACAGAAAGCACTGTGGTCAATAGTTGCAGGTCCAATCAGTGGCTGGTTGTGGCTGGCATTCCTTGGGGTTAACACAGAGGCTAATACTATTTAACAATTTCAGTAACCTATGTGATGCAAAGGGATAGCAAGTTTGCAGATGACACCAACTGAAGGGAGCACTAAACATGCTGGAGGACAGGGCTGCCATTCAGAGAGACCTCAGCTGGCTGGAGGAATGAGTTAACAGGAACCTCATGAAGTTCAACAAAAACAAATGCAAAGTCCTGCACTTGGGCCTAAATAACCTCAAGCAACAGCACAGGCTGGGGACTGACTGGATGGGTAACAGCTCTGCAGAAAAAGAACTTGGGGGTCTGGGAGACAGACCGAACAGGAGTCAGTAGCATGCCCTTGCAGCAATGACAGACCGCTGCATCCTGGGCTGTATTAGCCAGGCAATCAAGTGACAACTCCCCTCTAGTCAGCATTTCAGATCGCTGTGCCCAGGGAGGGCACAAAAACCCTTGGAGATTGGAAAATGCCGCTGATCAGCCCTGCTTTTAGCAGGAGGTTGGACCAGACAACCTCCACAGGTCCCTTCCACTCTTAAATTACTGTACGATTCTCAGATGTTTCCTCTACAAGTTTTTTACCACGCAATTGTCTTTTCTGGGATTCCTTATATTTTCCTCTGCAGAATCACATACTGGTAATTGTCAAATAACATATGGAGTATGTAGGCCTCTGATCTGATCTAAAATTGCAATTACATGTTCATGAATCAGCACCATATCTTCCTTAGCACTGACTGGATTTTAGGATTGAGGACTGTCAGACTGTTTTCAGAGCTCCCAGTTTAGGCTAATGAAGGAAACAAATTATAGTTGTCTCTGTCTCTAGTCTTATTTTCCTCTTTCTCCAGCACTGCTTCACATGAGAGTGCAAGACACACAATAATTAAGAAAAAAACCAAACATCAAAAAACCCAAACCCCAAAATGCCCCCCGCCCCGATATTTTTAGTGTTACTCCCCAAACACTCCTTTTTTTCTCTCAAACCTATGTACAGTACTAAATTGAAACACAGGGTTGCATCCTCTTACTTTAATAAACGTATTGCATGGCTGAAACCATCTCCTTCTACTTGTACTCCTTGGTGAGGAATGTCCATATTAGATAACTAGGAACGAACAAGGAAAGTGTTATCCGAAGCAAAAAGTCAAGCAAAATAACTAACTTTTTCAAGGATTTTTTTTTTCCCCTAAGGGTGACACGTTTCACATCCTCAAGCATTGGAAAGCCAAAAAAACAGTCTCTGCAACAGCCTCTGGTATAAAGTTGTCTCCCACTCCCTCCCACAAATGTTTCTTTCATCCTTTCATTTTCCCTTTCTCCCAACTTTTCAAGCTTTTTGTAGTGCTTGGTATTAGAGAACCAGCTACAAGAAGACTAGACCAAACCAGTGTAGAACATCAGTCACCCAGGGTCAGCTGGTGGGGGAACTCCAAAGTGAATAAATGGCCACAAGTTTGCAGAATAGTCGCATCTAGACAAGAGAATCAGGAGCAGTAGAGGGGAAGAACGAAATAAAATATTTCTTAACACATACCTCCATACGAAGCCCTATAAATGGCATATTTGTGTCACACATGGCTACAATATGAGCTAGCACTTTATTGAAGGCACACATTTCTCCCGACCGTTTTGGTTTCTTAGGTTCTATGGAACATGGATCACCAGATAACTAGAATCAAAATAAAGACAAATTGTACTTGCACATTTAGAGTAAGCATTTTGAAAAGATATCAGAGAATAATCTAATTCATCCAAGTTTTAAATGAATCACACCCTGAGCACAAACTCCTGAAAGGATCTGGTCCTCTTCAGGACTGAAGCAATTCAGTTAAAGTAATTTTATAATCACCTCCTTCCTTAAAACAGTATTTACATATCACTAAGCCATGTCAGCCTGACCTCAAGAAGTAACTCTTATCAGCCCCTGCAAGTCTTTCAAAGACTACACCTACACAGCACAAAGCATATCATGCAGATACCAGTGCTCTGCGTATACAAGCTACTCTATCTACCTCAGCACAGTGCTCTGCCTTGGCTCTTTAGAACAGCTGAGAAGGCCTGGCATGAATTAAAAGACAACTGTTACAAAATAGTTTCCCAACATCTCCCTAGGGAAGCAGTCCAAAGAATCAAGCTGCACTACAAGTAAGATGTCAGCCATACAAACTTTTGAAACAACACTACTAAAGCTGGTATTGATGCTCAGAACATGGGTTTAGTTTTCATGCTCTATAACTAGCCCAATGGCTTTTGAAGCACATACCTTGCGCTTGACACCACTTTTCATTTGTTTCCCACTTTTTGTGTCTAGTACCAACTCTTCAATGTTTGGTTTGAATTGCTGTAGTAAAAGTGCAGTAGCAGGGCTGTCATCTCCTTCAGCATAGCTCACAGAGAGAAAATGGTACTTATATTCTAGTTCTGTGGGGTTGCCAGGAACATCAAACATCTCTACAACCTATATTAAAATAAAACAACAAATTGAGAAGACCCTCAAGCTAAGAATATGTCTACGTCAGTTCCTAACCTCCCCCCTCAAAGAAAAGACATTAGTCTTTTTCAAGATATTAATACTGTGGCTAGGAAAGGGATCCAAGAAGAGAAGGAAGACTAAACTTTAAGGAAACATAGAGAATGGGAAGGTTGCTGAGTAATAAACCTTTAGGCCCCCTCCGCTCTATGCTTAACAAACCCACCGAATGAGAGAAGGGAGGGAGAGGGGAGAGTCAAGGATTACATCAATCACTTGGTTCCTAATGTTAGAGTTAACAGCACAAACTGTCTGGTATATCCATGCCTGGGAGCAAAAGACAGAAGCATTTTTCAGTTACTTACAATGTAGTACTGTGGAAGGCGAGTGAGTTTGATAAACAATTTGTGTTTGGAAAGGTTTCCCACTGGATGGCTAGCATAATTAGCTAGTTGAAGAGTTTCACTGCTCACTGTAGGCAGATGTTTTATAGACTGTTTGCAACGTTGCTGTCCAAGCCAGAACCTTGCATTGAAATAAAGGTATTAGTACCCTGAGATTGTTTTAAATTATTCCAGTATACTGCTGTTCAGAGCATTACTGTCAAAGTAAGAGTCAGTCATATTCTAAGTCAACATCTATCATTGCTGCACAAGTTATACACAGAAAATCACACAGAAAATTTTGTGAGTTTGTTTTCTTATTACTATCTTTACATATTGTCTTCAGCCTGAGTAGCAGACAGCTGATAATTTAAGAAAAGCCCTGAAATTATTTGCTGAAGGAACACATAAATAAATTTTTACACACCACAATATAAAATTACAATATAAAAAAAAAGGGACAAATTAAAAAACATGCAGATTACAGTTATTTTACAATTTGGAGTCTTCGATTATTTTTCAGTACAGAAAAGAAAATCCTTGCTCCCATATGCTGGTAAGCAATACAGTAAAAGTCACCAAAGTTGGACTAACATCACTCTGGATTATGTTATAAACAAACTCATTCACCTGAATAAGTTTGGATGTGAAGAACCATATGTAAGACACCAAATTTATTCTAATGTTTGGAATTAAACTTGTTCTACTCCAATGGATTTTGGCTATAGTGGCAAGGCCAGAAAGCCTAGCTAGGCTTGTGTGCTGGTTTTGGCTGGGATAGAGTTAATTTTCTTCATAGTAGCTAGTATGGGGCTGTGGTTTGGATTTGTGCTGAAAACAGTGTTGATAATACAGGGATGTTTTAGCCATTGCTGAGCAATGCTTACACAGAGTCAAGACCTTTTCTGCCTCGCACCCGACCCCA